ACAAATAAACCCACCGGAAAATTGTGGACTCGTGCAAGTGCACAAGGAATGTATGGTGTTGATGACGAGGCCGTGAATCGACGCCCTGAGGCTCAAAGACCCCGTGCACACCAGAAACGTCACAATGTGGAACAAGAACGGCAAATGCGACGCCACGTCCAAGCAGTTGTTGAAAGACAGCATCAGCAAGTATCTCGCTAGGATCGCGATGTCGTCCCACATCAAATGCTGCTCCAAAATGGCCGTCGGACTGGCGCATGTCTTCTCCAACACTCGACACAATCTTGACGACGAAGAAAAAAAAAGAAGTCCACGCATGAAAACGTTTCAAACACTGTTGAATAAGCTTATAACGAAATATTGTTCACAACGGATTTGTTTCTCGGTCCCTGTAAAATAGCCACAATACTATTTGAATTTATTTTCAAAGAATTTTCGTCACAACTAAGCTTTTTTTAAGGTCCCAAATGCTTCGTTGTAACGAGATTATACCACAGCCAAAAGACCCTTGAGAATAATGAAACCTCTGTCAGGTTACAGACAAAATGAAGACTTCTGAATGCTACAGTCATTGATTTTGACTTGATTTTACTCAGACTAATTCAGTGAATAATGACTCCGTTTTTTATTTCAAACTGAAAAAAATCTGAGAAGCATTTCTCTAGCATTTGGCAAAGAATCTTTCAACTACACTTTGGTGGTTTACCAAGAGTTGACTCAAAAGGAAACTCTTTAGACTGTTTTTGGTATTGTTATTGTACACTTGCAATTTTATAACTCACAGGTAATTCCTGATATTGTAAACCTTCAAGAGGATAATCAGATTCAAGTGTTGATAGGAACATTTTAATTTTAGTTTGCCCCCTTTTTACTGGACTTGTCCCAGACTGGGTACTTTAAGTACTCCAGACAACTTACAGTAAGTTAAACACAAGTAATTTTGCTTTACAAGTGTTTATTGATTCCAAAACATCTGAAATCAAGACAAACGCCTGATAGGTACTCTGCTCCTTATTCAGAGGGCCTTTTACCACTGACTCTATTCTAGAAATGCGGGGCCTTTTATTAACTTTGGGAAAACCAGACAGTGAGGTCAGTGCTTGGACAACTATTGTTGAGCCAAACAAAAGAAAGGAAACTACAAAAGTGTTCTGCAACTATGTTTCTCCATTGGTAATTTATATGGCGGTCAACCGCCTGAGGTGATCTCTAATTATGGCAAAGAAAGACAGAAACAAGGTTGCACACGCATGTGCAGCCATCCCGCATCAATGAGCAGGGCAAGGAAAAGTTAGAGCAATTCAGCACAGCTGACAACAGTATCTTTTTGATGCTCTTTTTTTGTTCTCTTTTGACCACAAATTGAAGAGAGGGAAACAAAAAAAAAATTGCGCTTCATCAAAAAGAAAAACCCTTTACCTGGAAATGACTTTCCTAGACACCAACTGCGTGTTTGCAGCAGCCAGCGCTACAGCAGTATCAGCCATGATCTCAGCCTGCATAGACGACGGGCCACCAGTCACAGAGCGCTTCAAAAACGAATCCAACACCATGTCAATCAAATCCGACACGGCTCCGATATTGCCCCAAATCTTGGCCTGGATCGACGGATACATCTCCTCTTCTTCTATCGTCAACGTAATGAGCTTGTCCAATATGACTGCCACACGCTGTCTCTTCGTGTCATCCGAGTGCTTGCAAAACCGCGTCAAATTCGGCAACCAAGGCGTCATGTACTCGAGACACAAATGCTTCAGCTCGATCGTAGAGGCTCGGAATCCCTGAATGCATTCCTCGAGAAACTCGAGCGTCAAATGCGGCTCGTTCCGTCCGAGCGTCTCGCTCACGGCCTTGATGAAAATCGTGTTATTCGACGGGATGCAGAGGCGGAGCCACTTCATCTACCTGTTCACCGAGAAAAAGTAAGCGTAAACTTACAGCGCCTTGCCCCGCCGCAGGTAGTAGCCGACAAGCAGCAGCGGCAACTGCCTCAGGTTGTTGACCGGAAGCTAAGCTAGGTCAAAGGTGGCTGTGACGGCGCAGAGGAGGTTGTAGGCGGCTGTGCGAAGACTCGGGTCCGAAGAGCCCAGGTTCAGCAGGGCCATGTTGAGTAGCGTGCCTGGGACGTCCTTGGGACGGATCTTTTGATGCACCGTCACCGTGTCCGGTTGCGACAACTCCCATCTCGTTCTGTGCAACAGTGAATATAATTTTAGCGAAACATCCCACAACATATCAATTTCAAATCGTGAAATTAATTTTTTTTAGATGTCAAGAGGGTGTTGCTTGAATCACAAACCTGGGCTGAAATAACCCTACCCAAATAAAGTAAAATCTTGTTACAAAAATACCAGCACAAACAATTTCTCAGTATAACCAAATTTTTCTCAAGTCCTGTCAGAAAGTGCATAAATGTTAAAACAATTTCATCAAAACAAATTTCTCAATTCTAGTACAACAAACTTTTATGGGAATGTTCAACAGATTTTCCAGGTAGAAAATTCCTGACTACAATGAAGACACAGTCTGAAATTTCTGAGCCCTAATAAACTGATTGGTTCTTGTAGCCTGGATGGAAGCTGGGATCAATAAAAAATTAACTCGAACGGAATGCCATCACAGCTGGACTCTTCACTTTTGAGATCCCGAACAGACTGTAAAATTTGGCCAAGGAGTACTCGTCCAAACTCATCCTCAACACCCGCTTCCGCTCCTCTGAAAAAAATAAAATCGAGTTGAAATTTTGATTAATTATTTGATTAATAAATAAATACCATTGATTTGAAAAAAATACAGTTCGTTGCCAAAAAAAACCAGATTCTTCATGGATCAACAAACATAAAAGTCTCAGGCTCTTTTCCCTTCAAACATTCCTTTAAAAAATGTTCTGCAAAACAGTTGAAAGATGGAACGACCAAAACGAAACCAGCCAAACCTAACCCTAAAATTGTTTAATTAGTTATTGAATATTTCTCAACATCATAATCCACGCGAAATACTGCATGATGACTTCCTACTAATGTTCTGCATTTCAGGTGCACTCCTCGAGGCAAAAAAGGGTCAAAATCGGTTTTTGCAAGCGATCCCCTAAAATACCGTCGAACCCATCTAAGTCCAATTTCAGGGGACCAGAAAATAAAAGCGAGCTACGGAAACAAGCACTTACGTTGTGGAACAGATTGAAAAATTGCAGGAAATGGTAAATACAGTAGTTATAATATATTATCGGCATTAAATTGCTTCTTGAATGAGTCGACAGGATGCTGAACATGGAAGCAGGGGTTCATTTGTCCCAGTAGTCTTTCACTTCTTTTCAAAACACATCAAGTTAATTTTTCACAGCTTTTCTCTTTCCGGTGCCAATAAAATGATGACCCAAAAAGCCTCAAATAATTCCAGTTGAAGAGGTCTGAGAGGAAAGCCTTAGGGTTAAAAGGGTTTTTATGCATCGTTTCCGAGAACATTCAGACGAGAACTTGAAAAAAAAAATGTTTACTTAGTGAGTGAGGTTCGATTTATCGAGATTCAACTGTAATAAAACAAGGACTACTGCACAAATAAACCCACCGGAAAATTGTGGACTCGTGCAAGTGCACAAGGAATGTATGGTGTTGATGACGAGGCCGTGAATCGACGCCCTGAGGCTCAAAGACCCCGTGCACACCAGAAACGTCACAATGTGGAACA